GCATTGACACACTGTTATTATACTAGTTGTAGCTCATAATTTTATGTGCTATTATTAGTATTTTAACGAAGTACTACTAAGGAAACCATAAGTATTTAATTTTTCAGTTATACTCTTTTTATATGTATGCACACTAACAGGTAGAAAACAGACATTTCAGGAGAAAGGTCTTGTTAATAGAGACCAGTAGTTTAAAAGTTTTCATTCAAGATCAGAGAAAATATTTAAATCTATATGCATAAACTGAATTACCTTGAGCAGAATTCATGAGCAGAATTCAATTTTGAGGAAGAGGCAACTTTTTCCTTTCTTCATACGTTTTTCAAATGGGATTTAAATTAATCGAGAACTGTAGAAAAGAAAGCATTCTCTAAATATTCGTTACTTAATCTTTACGCAGAGAGTTAATGAAATACAGGAAAAGAAAGAGATGGTGCCGAAAATTACAACTCATGTAACAAAAAAGGGACGTAAAACCAAGCATAATGCACATAATTAAATTAAATTGGATTCCATAAAAAAGGCAAATCACTTTCTAAACTCTGTTCCGGACTTGATAGGGAGCACCTTGGATAACAGCTCGCAGTATCGTGCTCTCTTTCTTAGCCACCATCCTGTCAAAAGACGTTTGGAACGACAGATTTTTAGTGCCTTTTTTTCTCAGAAGTTCTGTAGTCATAAGCATACAGACTTCGCCCACAATTTGAATGAAATTCCAATGGTATAATGATCAAGTAGTCTCTGCTAAGTTTTCTGATTTTTCCAACTCACAAAGAAATATTTTCAAAACAGATTTTTCCGTGGTAAAGCTTGCTAATTGAATGATAGTGCGGTTCCCGAGGAATATATAAGAAGCTCTTTTCTTAGATTTTTATTTACTTTAAAGTATATCGTACCTTTCTTATAGAAAAACAGAAAATTTTAAAAATATCATTCAGAAATTTAAAAAAAAAAGTTTATTTATTCCAACAAATTAGACATTACTAAAAATTATAAATTCTAAATAGTATTTTGGCAAAATTAGTTCACTTAGAAAAATTAATTTTAGCGATTATATCCATGTAAACGATAGAAAATCATTTTTCTATAGATCTTTCAATTTAGTCTCCAACTGTATTAGGCATCAAAGAAGCGTATGCTTAAAATTTTTCTTAGATCGCATTTCTTGATTAATCCTAGCATGTACCAAAATGCAGTATCAAGTTAAGTTTAAAGCAGCCTATTAATAAATACTTATCAGCAGATTACCAGACTGCAGTTCGTTGCAAAACAAAATACCGGAAAAATATTGCCTAAATGTATAGGTCAAACATTTCTAAAAGCAGCAGAAAAAGTTTTTAACGCAGAAAAAGCTTTATAATATTTTAATAAATTGCCAGATGCTTTTAAAAATAGCTGCTGAATATATTTAATAGAAAAGAAATGAAACCTAGATATAAATGAAATAAATGCAAAGTAAAAAGCAGTTTAAAACCTAACCCATTTGCGCGCTAAAAGCAGCAACATGTGGTGGCGGTAATGCAAAACAAATTAAATTAATGAAAATCCGTTTAAAATCCATGCCATAATCAGTTTGTAATCAACCATATGCAAAAGACAAAAACCAGAAATACACCGGGAGACTGCATGAAAGTGCCTAAACCAGAAATGATAAAAGAATAGTACATCTTTCGTTGCATCGTCATCAAGAGATTGGTGCTACGAAAGAAGTAAATAAATCAGCCTGTTCTTGAACTAGAAAAGACACTTAAAATAGTCTCTAAAAAAATCAATCATAGTAATTTGTGTCTTTAATAGTTCAACGCCTGTAGGTCGTAAAATGTAGTGCAAAAATTGCAAAATTACAGCACCAAAACCACAAGCATATATCCAAGCTTAAAATACTTAAGTATTAAAAGTATTTGTTTTAAGTAAAAGAGTTCAAAAAACAAAACATAAAATGCATGAAAAAACAATAATATATAAATATTTTGAAACCACACAGGCCGGAATATTTTTCATCAAAACAATAAACAAGCAAAAAAGCCTAAAAATCTAAAAAAAAATAGTTGTTTTCAATTCAAATGGGCCATACCCAAAAAACAGAACATATAGAACAGAATCAATAAAACATATGAAAAATAATAAGAAATTAAAACATGATATTAAAAAAATAAAAGAAAATAAATGTAAGAGTTGCAATCACTTCACACATTTTATCAAACGTCATTGTTAGCGGATGGAAAGTAGACAGAAACGTTCGTTATTGCCTTTATTAGACTGTGTGAAGAACAAGTTCGTACAATAGATATACAGGTAGTTCGGCGCTCGCAGGCGCCCTCTTGCAGAGAACAAAATCAAATTTTACATAAGGCGCGAACATGCCGCCCACCTTGAAATACTATTTCAACATTTAATAGTTAAAATTCAGTAAATTTAAAACACAATACACTATTAAAATCATGATATAATACTTAATTTATAATACATGAATTAAAACTCAAATTGGTAATGGACACAATTTTGTAATATTTCTTCTGACCATGCCATCTGAAGTCTTAATAGTCACAACCCTAACAATATTATTAAGACCAGGATGTAACTGAGTAATTCTACTCATTTTCCATTTAGTTGGAGGTAATTATCCTCCTTTATGAGACACAGATCATTAACTTGAAGATTTTTAGTTGGCAAAAGCCATTTTGGTCTTTGTTGTAATCGACACAGATATTCTTTGTGTCAACGCTTCCAAAATTATTGAACTAGTTTTTGAATATGTTGCCATCTAGTGAGATGGGAAACTTCAATGTAATTTGGTTCAGGAATGCTTGTTAATGATCTACCAATAAGAAAATGACCACCACGCGTCAATGCTGATAAGTCATTTGGGTCATTAGACAAACTTGTTAAAGGTTCGCGAATTAAGACAAGCTTCTATTTGTGTGAGAAATGTTTCAAATTTCTTCATATGTCAATCTTGCCTCGCCAACTACTCGTTTTAAATGGTATTTTGTTGATTTTGTGGCAGCTTCCCAGAGTCCATCCATATGTGGTGCACGTGGAACGTTTATATGCCATTTAATACCGTTATCAACCAAATATCTACTAACATTTTGGTTATACGTTGTACATCTAGCAAGCCTTTGAAATTCACCGAGTTTGCGTTTTGCTCCCAAATTGGAACCGCAATCACTATATATATCACTGCTTTTGCCACTGAGGGAAATGAACCTCTTAAGAACTGCAATAAAAGCATCTGCTGAAAGATCAGTTACTAATTCTAAGTGAATAGCTCTTGTTGTAAAACAAACAAATAGAGCTATATATGCCTTGCCTTGAATGACCTAGAGCCTCGACCCTTATTTGCTTTAATTTGAAAAGGACCTGCGTAATCCACTCCACAGCGCAAAAACGCAGGAGCAGGCGAAAAAAAAACGCGACTAGACGGCAAATCGCTCATCAATTGATTAGTGACAGATGTTCTAATTTTGCAACACCTTATACATTTCCTAACTAAATCTCTGATAACAGCTCTACCATTTATGATCCAATGTTGTTCTTGAATGCAAGATTGCATGAGTTGTGGACCTGCATGCAAAAGTATTTCATGGTAATGTATAACAATGGGAAAATTGGATTCCTAAAGCCATATGCAAGGTTTGCATGTCGCAAGTGACCGCCCACTCTGAGGATACCTGAATTATATAAAAATGGATTTAAAGATAAAATTTTGCTTCTACAAGATAATGATTGATTTCTGCCTAAAGTTTTAATTTCATTCTTAAATTCAACATATTGCATTAATATAATTATTAACACATGCATAGCTTTAGCTAATTCACTAGTTTTTAAAAATCGCCTCACCAACTACTCGTTTTAAATGGTATTTTGTTGATTTTATACCTGATCTTCTGAATTTCTACAGTTATTTACAAACCTCAGACATAATGCTACAACACGTTAAGTTTAGTGAGAGAAGAATATTTATAAAATAAATCATGAGCGTCTGTCAAGTGACTGGCAGCAGTTGTAGACTGTAAAGCACATCTTTGCTCTGGCACAGAACCATTCAGCAGTGGTGCAGATAATGCTGGCTGCATAGGAAATAAATTATACAATAAATCTGGACCACGTAGCCACAATGAAGTAACCAGTGCTGATGGTGACACATCACGAATTGCAAGATCTGCAGGATTAGTATTTCGACTCACATGATGCCACTGGTCAGGAGAAGACAAAGTCTGGATTTTTGCTATTCTCTTGGCGACAAAGGTCTTCCATTGGCTTGCATGAAATCCTATCCAGGCTAGTACAATAGTGGAATCAGTATGAAAATAAACTTGTGATATAGAAGTATTTAAAGTCCTACAGGTGAAATTCATTAATTTAGTCAACAGTAATGCTCCACAAAGTTCCAATCGGGGAAGTGATATGGTTTTTAGTGGTGCAACTCTTGTCTTGGCTATTACCAACTAAACATTGATTTGTCCAGTATCTAACACAGAACGATAATAAATTGCAGCGGCGTAGGCCTTCTCTGAAGCATCACAAAACCCGTGCAGTTGAAACTGGTTATCTGATTCAACCAACAAAAATCGTGAAATTTTGATACTTCTAATGAATAACATATCTTCTTGTAAGTTGTTTTCCACTCACATTCAATATCTGGAGGAACCTTTTCATCCCACTGCAACTGATGTTTCCACAATCTTTGCATAATCAATTTATACCGAACCGTGATCGGTTGCCAAGCATCCAAGGAGGTCAAAAGTCTTTGCGATTATTGAAAGTAGTGTTCGTTTTGGTTAAGATTTCAGGATATGATGAATTGACTTTGAATAAAAACATATCTGAAGCTGGATGTGTCACAGGATACCTAACGTTTTTTTACAGCATCATCATTTGTCTATGTTCAAAGAAAAACATTTGATAGCACAAATCTGGATTAATTGAATTTCAAGACTTCTTTGCTGTTAGAAGCCCATTTTCTTAGAACAAATCCTGCAAGTGACAACATATGATCAATTGCATTGCATTTGTAATTCTATAGCTTCCAGTAACTGAACTGGCTCCGGACTCAAATCATCAACGTAGAAGTCCCTAAGACATGTCTTGGAACCCAAAGGAAAATTAGTTGTTTCATCTATGGTTAACTGCTGTAAACATCTTACCGCAAGGTACGGAGCTGATGGAGTACCGTAAGCAATCCTAGTTAATCGAAAATCCTGAATTGGTTTTATAAATGTCGAATCGCGCCAGACTATTCTCTGAAAGTCTGTATCTTTTAGTATAATTTGTCTGTACATTTTCTCTATATCTGCAGTTATAGCTATTCTATGAATTCTGAAACGAATAATTAATGTTGTCAGATCAGTCTGTGGACCAACCATCAATTTCTCATTAAGAGAAATGCCGCTAGAAGATTTTGCAGAACCATCAAATACGACTCGAAATTTATCACCATTTTTATCCGGAACTGCATGGTGCGGAAGGTAAAAACTAGAATTAGCTGGAACATCAATTTCATTTTCTGGAATCAATTCCATATGACCAAGTTGCTGATAGTCCTCCATAAATTTGTGATATTGACTGGAAAGAGATTTATTCTCAATAAATTGACGTTCAGTGCTTTGTAAACGATGTACAGCAACATCCCTTGATGACCCAAGTTCATTGCCAGATCTACGAAATGGAAACTTAACAACAAATCTACCTGTTGAATCACGAGAAAAATTCCGCTTGAAATGATTTTTACACTCAATTTCCTCTTCTGTGTAATGCTTTATCTCCAAAATTTCATCCAATTTCCAAAATTTTTCAAGCTGGAGCTAAACATTGGTACATTTAGCATGATTAGATACAATTGTTTGTGATACACTTTTAGTCTTTCCGATAATGACCCAGCCGAATATTGATTCCAAGGCGTTAACGAATGACCCGGAACAGTTAAACGTCCATGAAAGCATTATCTCGCCAAATACATCTGCGCCTAAAAGAATATCTATTGGGCCAGGTGGAAACAATGTGTATCTGCCAACCACAAATGTTTGAAAGATGTCAAAACAGATCTATCAACTTGATATTGAGGAAGGTCACACGTGATCTTGGGTATAATTAATGCATTAACTGAAATGCTTGCGTTTTTATAAAATGGAAATGTTACTTGCAATTGAACTGAACCTGAAACCTTTCCAATTTTTGGCGAGCTCAAGCCATTTACACTTATGTTTGCACTAGTGCGCTTTAGCTGCAGTAAATTTACACAGTGTTCCCGAATAAATGAGCCCTGGCTACCTGAATCAATTAGCATCCTGCATTTTTTAAATCGCCATTTATATCTTTAACATAAACAACTGCAGTAGGCAATAAAACTGCTTGCGTGACAGGCACCGTGGCCTTATTGCTACTAATAGCGGAAGTTCCGTGTTCCATGGGTATATGACATTTTTCATCATTTGAATTTTTTGAACATAACACTGTATGATGTGGCTTACAACAATATTTACACATGCCTGCACGACATTTAAAAATGGGATGCGTTTTACTATCCTTCAAACAATTAGCACATAATTTATTACTTTTAATAATATCCCATTTTTCTTTGATAGGGAGCTATCACATTTAAATATCTGAAAATGAGAATTACTCTTACAATGAACGCACACATTAGCCACAAGTTGGGACGAAAAAGAGTATCTGCTACCTGAAACGGGAGTTTTAATTTCAGAAGGCAAAACTGCCTTCTCCCTCTGGCACTTCGCCAAAGAGGCAATAGCATTCGCTCTGTTTAAAATAAGACGCTTGAATTCAGCGAAAATTTTCTTGTTCGAATGCTCTATCGTCCACTCTGCTAGTGTTTCATGATCAAGTTTTCCTTTTAACAGAAAAATAATCATAGTATCCCAATGTTCTACCGGCTGTTTAAGGATTTTTAATGTATCAATACACTGTTGTGTTGTATCAATTAATCTCCGCAAACCTGAAGCTGATTCATGTTTTAGAACAGGTTGTGAAGTTAATTTATTTAATGCTGCGTTATAATTTTCTATTTCGTTTCATAAACGTTCAGTAAGCGCTTCCCATGCCTTTCATAATTCTCGTTTTGAAATTTGAACTGATTGTAGTAAAACAGCAGCTTCCTTTTCACAGAAAGCTAAGAGATATTGCAATTTTTGACTGTCACTAATGTACTATTATTTCCAACACTGGCAAGAAATAAATCCCCCTAAATGATATCCAATCAACATAATTAGAAGTAAACACTGGCAATTCCACGCGAGGAAGTTTCAAGCCGTTTGCATTAACATTTATTATATCTTTGCCTGAATTTCTAAGTTTTACTTGATTCTTCCTTTAAAGTAATTTTAATGCATCCAGTTTGGAAAATAGTTATTCATTTCTATTTCATATTTACTAAACTCTGCGTCAGAACAAGTACCAAGAATGTTATCGTTTTAAACAGTTCACTTCAACATCTAGTGCATCAACATCATTTTCGTATACTTCAATGGCAGAAAAAGAATTTTCTTGATTTTGCAAACCATTTACTTGTGAAATTAAACGAGTCAACTTACCCTTAATGATTCGCATTTGCTTTAAAATCGACTCCATATTCCTGCCGCTGTTTTCACAATCCAGACAAAATATAAATCCGTTTTCCTTGCACGAAATGTCCTTCTATACCAGAACGTTAAATAATGTCTTGACACATCATCCAAAGAATTGCGCTGGCTCACGACGGACCATGTTAGCGGATGGAAAGTAGACACAAACGTTCGTTATTGCGTTTATTAGACTGTGTGGAAGAACTTTGGAACTTTGCGGTTATACTGGCTTTCAGCAGGAAATTAAAGTCCTGCTCTTGCCAGTTCCTGATGTGATCCCATGTGGGGCCTGACAGAGTAGAAACCTGAAAGAAATTTTCTCTTGTGGAGGTAGAAGTGTGCTGGAGAGAGAGAAAAAGAGAAAAAGAAAAGCACTTTGCTCCTGTACTGCTACATCTTGGATGGAATCCGCCAAGCAGGGGCCGGAGAAAGAACTTCGGATGACCTGTGTAGGATAGCCCGAATACTAACTGTTCATTCGTCGGAGCCAGTCACGTGGGAGGTCACCCTCCCAGAAACTGACCCCGATCGATCCTGCTTGAAAACCAGAAAACTGGAACTTAAAATTCTGAACTCAAGAGGTGGGCGGCAAATGGGCGGAGGTTTTTGTCTTCAGCCAGGATTTCGTAGATAAGAATGTCCGTGAAATTAGCGGGATTCACATTGATAATATTATTAAAAAAGCTGTTGTTTATTCTGCTGAGGTAGTCCTGAATAGTATCTATTTTCAAGTCGGAGTGGAGGGTCCTATTCCGAACATAGTAAGAAGCTTTTGTGATGATTCTTACCACCTTATTTTGAAGCACTTGGAATTTGCTAATTTCGTTTGCTTTGTAGTTTGCACAGGCTGGGGAAGCATACGTGAGAATGGGTCGTATTACAGTTTCATAAATCCTCTTTTTCAGTCTGAGAGTGAGGTTTTCATTCTTTAGGAGAGGGAAAAGCCTGAAAATGATCCCGTGTGCTTTTCCGCTTACTCTAAGCATATGATCCTTCCAATTGTAGTTCTTGTTAAGGGTAACTCCCAGCTTTATCAACTGTAGGGATGATTTTTGCCGAAAAGTTTAACCTCAGTTCTAGACTCGTTTCCTCTGTCTGCGATTTCGAGATGAGTAGAATCTTGGACTTCTTTCTGGCTGAATGGCACGTTTTCCTAGCGACTGCACCACCCCTCAATAGCATGGATTTGGGCCTGAATTCTTGACAAGGCATACTCTGGGTTTAGAGACTTGGTGGCTATCGCTGTATCATCAGCGTAGCTGGCTGCGAGAACATTTGTATCCTCGGAAAAGAAAAGCAAGGGAAATCGTTAGTATAGATGATGTAAAAAAGCGGGCCTAAAATTGCTTTAAATGACCTGAGGAATACCTGCGTAAATATTTTTGACACATGAAGTTGCATTTCCAACTCCAACGGTGCAAGTTCTATTTTCAAGGAAGGACTTGATAATGAGTATCAGATTTCTGGGGAAACCGAGATGAATTAGCTTATAGATTAGCCCTGGATGACAGACGCGGTCAAAATGTGTGGAAGAACAAGTTCGTACAATAGATATACAGGTAGTTCGGCGCTCGCAGGCGCCCTCTTGCAAAAATCAAATTTTACATAAGGCGCGAACAGTCATAATACTTTTTCTCTAAACATTAACGGTGTTTCCAGAGGTACCACCTTTTAAACTGCCATCTGTAACGTTTTCCTCTTCGTTAAGTAATACAATTGATGTGTTGATAAAATCATTGCCGTTCATAATTGCAATGAAACTGAAAACAAAAATTTCTATCCTAAATGCCTTAACATTGATAAAACTAACAAAGATGACATTGAAGAAACTTACCTTCATATTTACAATGTCAATAATATCAGTTTATTTGATAAAAAAGGGCCTTCCCGATTTCAAAATAATTAAAGTAATTAATTGGAAATCCAGTATTACCAGAAAAATTATTGCTAACACTATTACTAATCAAACGAAAAGAGTCAAAATACTTGTACTAACAGCGATTGTTTTAAGAAAGAGTTTACATAATTAATTAAAATGCCAAACGATAATAAAATTCCGCATAATTTCATCGGAAAACAACTGGAATACAGTTGTCACACAGTTGTAAACAGCTTAAAATACAATTGTCAATCTAAATGTTATTCTCACCACCAGACGTTATGTCTTCATGATAGGCCACGCTCAAATCATTAAAGCGATATTGTCGGGATGTTCTTAACACAGCTGAATTAGGCATTCTTGTCAAAATTCTTACATTAATTGCAATTTATGTCTGTCTCTTTCGTTAACAAATTAGGCCTACTTCAGCTTCCCAGTCTCAAGAAAGCCCGCTTGTCTTAGCTCTATTTTCTGTAACAGTTGACAACTTTTTCCGATTTCTGCCTTTTTTTTGTTTCAGGTTACGTATAATTTGTAAACAATTTGTTAAATTCCTCATTTCTGTTTGTTCTCTAAGTTTGATCGCAATTTTCTAAATCCTGCTCTAACTTCATCATATTTATTTATCACTCTGAGCATTACAAGTTTAGCCCTAAAATTTCAAAGTTCCTCAAAATATCATGAATAAGTGATATTTTCTTGATTTTAATTAAAAATGGTTTGGTTTTATTTAATTATGGCAAAGCACACTAGGGCTATCTGCCTAAGAGGAGGGATGCCTTCGTGGAGGACTTTCTAAGGGGAACTGGCTCGTATACACGTTACACATGGGAAAAACCACGAAAACGCCCATGCAGCCAGCCCATTCGAACCTCGGACCGAACTACCAGTGTTCAGCGACTTTACTGCTCGGCCGCTGGTGGGCTAATTAAAAATGACTCTTTCATTTTGTACATTGATTCCTTTTCTTCCAATTTCCATCCAAATTGAAATCAGATACATTAAAAGCTAGCAGAAATTTTCATGTATAATGAATGTAGGCAACCTTCTGTACGGAATTTTCCCGCCGTAACGCTGAGAGGGTCGAATTTATTCATTTATCCTTCGTATTTTTTTTTTTTTTTTTTTTTTTTAACTTCTTCGAAAATATTTTTACACTAAGCGCTACAACTTTTTTGATTTACGAATTTTTAAAATAATTTAATTATTTTGGTACAACTCTTTAACCATTCCTTGAACTGAACTGAAACTCTCTGAATTAATTTTGGCAATTGGAACATTTTAGGATTTATAATACGAGTAATTCGATGGCTTTTCCTTTCAAAAATTAATACATTTTAACAACATCGTATTTAATCTTATGATAGAAATATTTGATAATTCTGCCTATTATTATTAATTAGTTTAAATCAGTTGTAGTGCAGCTAATTTCATCGCTTAGCACATGTCAGGCTTGGCAACAGAATTTTGTTATTGGTCAAGTCAAATTAGTATTTTTTCACTTCAAACTTTTTCAAAACATTCAAAACTGATGTTGCAGATTTTAAGAACTGTTTCTTCTTTCTATTTTTTAGTTTTTATTTTGCACTTTTTAGATCAAATTTTCATTTATTGTAGTTTTTATATACATTAGATTGTTCTCCTTTTACATATTTCGTTTTCCGGATAGGGTCCACTTGAACTGAAGATAATTATTATTAGTTTTAGGAAGTCCTGTAATCGCGAAAAACGTCGGAGATCATATTTCAATGAAAATATCCCTTTTGTCCGCTCTTGAAACCATTTGAATGAATTTCTGGAGGGAGGGACATATGTTCTCAGGAACAGAATAAGGGACTTGTTTTACCAAAACGGGTTGTAAAATGGATTTAAAATGGATTCAGAAGCGACTTTTTTTCTAGACCTCTCTCATTACGTATATATGTATCTCGCATATTTCACGATTAGCCCTGCACAATGTCGAAACTTCGTATATAAGGCGGATACACCGAATCCCTTACGGTAAGTTCTGCATTTTTATTCTTATATGTTGGTAAACTGTGGAATTTTTTGCTTTGAAATGGTTGGAATTATGTTTTTTTTTATGTTACGGTTAGGATTTTTATGCTTTCATTTTATTTGCATGTAATAGTTGTACAATTATCAGCAATTTAAAAGTGCAGGTGGTGGCTGTTTGTTTACATTTGAAACTTTTAGTAGTATAAAGAGTTGTCAGTTGGTGTACCAATTTCAGTGTTATTTTTCTCAGTGGGAGCAACAGTTAACTTTAAATTTTGGTGCACTGAAAATCTTATCTTCTTGCGCTTTGGCCAATTTGCTTGTTTTGCGTAATTCTCTAATTTTAATTGCGAAAATCGTTTTTTTTCAACTATTTTCAACAGTATTTGGTGATTTAGGTTTTTCTGTATATATGGTCAGAATTTGTTTTTTTGAATAGTCATTTTGTATAATGTAAAGTGTTATTGGTTTTTTGACTAGTCGATTTGGAGCAATGTAATGGTTTATTCTTTTTTCCTAGTGTTTCGAATACGTGTAGGAAAAATTCTGGATACAATTGAGATTCGATTTTTCGGTTTTAAATGAAATTTAATGTCTTAAATGAAAATTTAATTGAATCTTTTTTCGGTTTTTTGATCTCAAATGTACCAAAACAACGAAACATGTACTCGAAGCATATTAACTGAATTTATGAAACTTTAATTCATTTTCCCCTAATGAATTCTGAATTGGAGTCTCAGTCAAAGGAGATCAACTTTTATATTTTTAAAATTTTGTATATTTTTTCCCTTTTCGCATTTTTGATTTTGTTCTACTAATGAATTCTTATTTTAATTTTGATGCGTTTAAATGCAGTGTTAAACCTTTCATCCACGGTTGCGATTATTAATATTGTTGAGGACCTGCCTTGCTTGATTCCAATTTAATTTTAATTTTAGATGCTTAAAGTTAAATTTACTTCACTCCTGCGGCTATAGCGCAGGAATGGTTATTTTATTTTATTTTTTTGTTTTGAATTTTTAGCCTATTGCTATGTTTCTTTTTATATAATTTCTTGACAAATAGAACGTTGATTTCGTCCAAAAATAAGAAAAGTTTAACAATAAGTAGAAGTACAATATAATAAAAATCATTCCTTTAAAAATGTATTACCGAAAATCTAGCGGATGACATGAAATGGTAGATAGAACATTAGAACATTATCCCGAACTATTACATCTAGTTAGAAATATTTGTCTTCTGGGGAATGAATCCCTTCCTTGAGAGTCACTATTTTTTACTTATTCAATCTACAGCGATTTGCTATAAATGGTTCTTGGCAATTCTGGTTAATGATAGCTGTCTATCTTTCTGTAAAGTACATTTTGTATAGACATAATTCTGGAAACGTTGGTATATTTATATGTGTAAGTACGGGTATTTCATAAATTTTCTAAATTATTTGTAAGATAACTTTGGTTTTCTTTTCCGATCTTAACTGATGTGAAATTTTAAAGACTTAAAGACTTCTTAAAGACTTTTGCAATTTAATATGTTTTCATTTTGAAGATAATTAAGAAGCAATTACATAGGTAATTTTACTGGATATTTCCTTAAGTGGGCAAGAGGTAAGAGAGTTTATTTTCTTCAACAGTGGTAATACCCTAAATACTTATGAATAGTTTAATATTAGTTTACAATAATTTAATTCTATCACTTGAAAGTTTTTTCTTAGTTTTAACGGATTTCCTCATTTTGCATATCCTACAAACTTTCTTTTTTAACCAATTATGCAAATTGATTATACTGTCATAAGACTCCAAAATAAAAGGTCTAAAACATCAAACTTATTAATCTGGAAATCTAGCCTTTAACTAGCTTTTCTTTAATACCATTTTTTCTTAGACTGGTTTTGGTTGTGTTAGTCTGCCAGCTGAAAATGATGTCTTCGAAGGTTCAATAGCCTACCTAGTTTTATACAGGGTGATTCTAAATAGCTTTTACTAATTTAGAGGGGTGACAGTACCCATCCAGACGATCAATAAATAGAGTAGAACATAGGGTCGCATTCCACAATGAGAGGCAGAAAAGAGGAATATTAGGATTCCAACCTGAACTTACAAGTGTTGGGAAAGCGAAAGGGCGAGACCAAAAGTTGCGCAATCAGATTTATTATTTAGTGAAAAACTTACAGAAAGTGCTCAAAATGCCGACCATGTGTATCGTTGCACATTTGACATTGGAAAGAACGACTGGCACACCCTCCCGAAGATTCCTGGTGTCAGGTAAATTTTGTCCACGGCAACAACGATTCTCGACACAAGATCTTCAGCTGAGACCACAGGCGTCTTGTACACTTAAGATTTCATCTAGCTCCAGAATATAACGTCCAGTGGGCGGAGTTCCGGTGAGCTAGGAGGCTAAGCCACATGTCCGCCACGTCCGATCCATCGTGGGGGATATGTGACATTCCAAAGGCTACGGACCGTGACGGAAAAATGTGCTGGTCCTCTCGTGCATAAACTACATGTCTGTCTGGATAGGGAACAGCCTTCAATAAACTGGAAAGTACGTGTTCGAAGAAGATACGGTATGTTGCACCGGTCAAACGGTTTGGCATGATGTAAGGGCCTGCCATGAAATCACCTAGGTTACTTGTCCAGACGTTTATGGAAAATTTCTGCTGGTGTTTATGAGGGGTATTGCAGTGGGGATTGCTGTTAGATTAAACGTTTGTGCACGTTGAAAATACCTTCTCTGCTAAATGTTTCCTCATCACTAAATAATATTAATACAGGAAACCGTGTATTGTTATTCCTCATTCCAAGCATCCACTGTACAAAATCTGTTCGGCAGAGAAAGTCATTTGGATCCAAAGATTACACTTTTTGCACGTGGTAGGGTGCTTTCGTTTCGCGTTACGCCACACAACTAGCTAAGAAATACCCATTTCATATGACACCGTTCGCGTACTTGTGGAAGGA